CGGTACCCGTCGTCATACGGTAGATGATTGAATCCTTTTCCGGGTCTATCGATACCATTGCCACGATTATGTAGATCGTAGTCTGGAAAATTAGAAAGTTTTAAAAAAATTCGAATTCCCGCCAAACCAAGAAACCCAAAAACTTGGATCCGCGTCATCTCGAATCTGCGTGACATTTCGAAATCAGTTATTTTGAAGCCAAATGTCGTAGTTTCGAAATGACTGGTTTCGAAGTGTCACGGTTTCGAAACGGCTGGTTTCGAAATGACCGGTTTCGAAACGACCGGTTTCGAAATGACCGTTTTCGAAGTTTCGCGGTTTCAAAGTGTCGCGGTTTCGAAATGACTGGTTTCGAAATAAATGGTTTCGAAGTGTCACGCAATTTTGAAATGACCGGTTTCGAAACGTCGCGGTCTCAAAGTGACGCGAAGCCAAAAATTCAAACTCCCGCCGAACCAAAACCCGAAAACTCACCACAACCAAAGCTCCCACTAATCCCAAAATCATCGCGAACATGGCGGGATAGTCAGAAGACACTGCTTCAGTGACACCATAGGATTTTCGGGCCGCATCCCTTAGTTGTTCATATACAGTCGGTTCACGGACTCCAGGAATTCCAGAGACTTCTCGTTTTTGAATTTTATGATTTTCAATGAATTCTGGATTTTTCGGGTTCTCAAATTCAGAATACCACATTTCAGAAGACGTCACGTCTTCTGAAGAATCCTCAGCTTTGAAATTCAACAATTCGACAACGGCGTGTCCACCATAAGCATCACGAATCACTTGATTTAAGGAGTTAATTGCATTTTGAATATCCAAAATTGCTTCTGACTTCTTTTTGGGATCACGAATTCCGACAAGTCCGGTGATGGAGATTCTAAAAAATCAAAAAAAAAAAAATTTTGTAGAAAATGGAGGTATTTGACCAGGACCCAGGACCCAGGACCCAGGACCCAGGACCCAGGACCCAGGACCCAGGACCCAGGACCCAGGACCCAGGACCCAGGACCCAGGACCCAGGACCCAGGACCCAGGACCAAGGGAGTTAGAAAATTGAAAATATGCTCACCTAAAAACATCGGCATTATTCTTCTCCATCCTCACTCCACTCTTCTTAATTGCCCCAATTAATTTATACAAGTTCTCCAATTCCATTCTCAACGTCTCCTGTTTCGTTTGAATAATCGATAAATCAATAATTTCATTTTTTGCCAATATTGCCATTTTTGTTCCGGAAATTCCTCCAAAATTAGTTTGAATCAATTCACGATCCGATCCGAAAATCATTGAAATATCCTCATCAATATTTACAGTATCCAGCCCATCGGATACTGTAGGGTACTGTAGTTTTCCACCGAAACTGATGACGTCATCGGATGAATGGATTACTGTAATTACAGCCAAAGCGCGTGGACGAGAGAATAGAGACGCAGTGGAGATGGGGAAACCTAGAAATTGAAATTTTAGAGTTTCAGAATTCTTGAGTTTATGAATTTCTGAATTTCTGAACGTCTGAATTTCTGAATTTCTGAATTTCTGAATTTCTGAATTTCTGAATTTCTGAATTTCTGAATTTCTGAATTTCTGAACTTCTGAATTTCTGAATTTCTGAATTTCTGAATTTCTGAATTTCTGAATTTCTGAACTTCTGAATTTCTGAATTTCTGATTTTCTGA